CCGGAGAGGGGCCCGGCCAGCCTTCCGGCCACAGCGGGTGTGTGGGCAGCAGCATCCCTGGCCGATCCTGGGCTCCCGGCCCCAGTGCTGGAGGAGGAGGGGCGTCCTGTCGGTCATGCTGCGGTGGCGGCTTGGGATCCAGACCACAGTGCAAGGTCCAGCTGGGCAAGGCTGGCACCTAGTCTGCCTTCCAGACCCAATGCTGCCCCTTCAGACCAGGCCCCTTCTTCCCAGCCATCTGCCCCCACTTACCACAGGAAGTCCTCATCAGAGGCAGCACTGCAAAACGAAAAGGGGGGCTCCCCGCCTGGAGAACTGCCAGCTTCCCCCCAAGGTCAGAGGAACTCACCCCTGAGCAGCTGGAGGCCAGGCCCCACCTGCTGAACCGCATCCCGGCTCCCAGCTGGGCAGACACCCCCGCAGGGACACACCGTGGAGCACTGTTTACGAGGCTCCTGCACAGCTTGAAGGGGGGGACCCACGGGGACTCTGGCCCAAAGCGAACACAGCCCAGCCCGCCAATCTGGGGACCACAGATCCCCTTGGACTGCACGGGAAGGGGTGGCTGGCTCTCACACTGGGCCGGGGAGACTAAGGCACAAGGCTAACCTAAGCCCACGGGGTGGGGTGGAGGGAGGACAAGGTCCAAGGGGGCCTGGAGCAGCAAAGCGCACAGGAACCAAGCAATGAAGACGGCCTGGGTTTTCCAAGTTGGCACAGGCTGGAGGTGCAGGCGACGACCCGGGGTGCCAATGGCTCTGGCTACAAGGCGCTCCATGTCCTGACAGTCCCTACAAAGGCCTCTGGAGAAGGGGAAGGGCCCTGGTTGCGGCCCGCACCCCTCCACAGGCCCAAGGGCCAGTCTCGAACTGGATTCTGGGAAGCGGACAGCTGGCTGGCGAAGTGGTGGGATGACTCCAAGGTCCTGGCGCAGGCCTGCGCCCTCTCCATCTCCAGCGGGCCCTGCGCGGACAGCCTAGGGAGGGAGCAGGAACGGAGGGCAGGGCGGGCTGAGGCCTCGCACGCACGCACTG